CGTCACTTACTGACGGGAGAGACTTCCATGTCGTCACTTCCATGTCGTCACTTACTGACGGGAGAGACTTCCATGTCGTCACTTACTGACGGGAGAGACTTCCATGTCGTCACTTACTGACGGGAGAGACTTCCATGTCGTCACTTACTGACGGGAGAGACTTCAATGTCGTCACTTACTGACGGGAGAGACTTCCATGTCGTCACTTACTGACGGGAGAGACTTCCATGTCGTCACTTACTGACGGGAGAGACTTCCATGTCGTCACTTACTGACGGGAGAGACTTCCATGTCGTCACTTACTGACGGGAGAGACTTCCATGTCGTCACTTACTGACGGGAGAGACTTCCATGTCGTCACTTACTGACGGGGGAGACTTCCATGTCGTCATTTACTGACGGGGGAGACTTCCATGTCGTCACTTACTGACGGGAGAGACTTCCATGTCGACGACGGGAGAGACTTCCATGTCGTCGGGAGAGACTTACTCGTCACTTACTGGGAGAGACTTCCATGTCGTCACTTACTGACGGGAGAGACTTCCATGTCGTCACTTACTGACGGGAGAGACTTCCATGTCGTCACTTACTGACGGGAGAGACTTCCATGTCGTCACTTACTGACGGGAGAGACTTACATGTCGTCACTTACTGACGGGAGAGACTTCCATGTCGTCACTTACTGACGGGGGAGACTTCCATGTCGTCACTTACTGACGGGAGAGACTTCCATGTCGTCACTTACTGACGGGAGAGACTTCCATGTCGTCACTTACTGACGGGAGAGACTTCCATGTCGTCACTTACTGACGAGAGAGACTTCCATGTCGTCACTTACTGACGGGAGAGACTTCCTTGTCGTCACTTACTGACGGGAGAGATTTCCATGTCGTCACTTACTGACGGGAGAGACTTCCATGTCGTCACTTACTGACGCTTCCATGTCGTCACTTACTGACGGGAGAGACTTCCATGTCGTCACTTACTGACGGGTGAGACTTCCATGTCGTCACTTACTGACGGGAGAGACTTCCATGTCGTCACTTACTGACGGGAGAGACTTCCATGTCGTCACTTACTGACGGGAGAGACTTCCATGTCGTCACTTACTGACGGGGGAGACTTCCATGTCGTCACTTACTGACGGGAGAGACTTCCATGTCGTCACTTACTGACGGGAGAGACTTCCATGTCGTCACTTACTGACGGGAGAGACTTCCATGTCGTCACTTACTCTCGGGAGAGACTTCCATGTCGTCACTTACTGACGGGAGAGACTTCCATGTCGTCACTTACTGACGGGGGAGACTTCCATGTCGTCACTTACTGACGGGAGAGACTTCCATGTCGTCACTTACTGACGGGAGAGACTTCCATGTCGTCACTTACTGACGGGAGAGACGGGACAGACTTTCATGTCGTCACTTACTGACGGGAGAGACTTCCATGTCGTCACTTACTGACGGGAGAGACTTCCATGTCGTCACTTACTGACGGGAGAGATTTCCATGTCGTCACTTACTGACGGGAGAGACTTCCATGTCGTCACTTACTGACGGGAGAGACTTCCATGTCGTCACTTACTGACGGGAGAGACTTCCATGTCGTCACTTACTGACGGGAGAGACTTCCATGTCGTCACTTACTGACGGGAGAGACTTCCATGTCGTCACTTACTGACGGGAGAGACTTCCATGTCGTCACTTACTGACGGGAGAGACTTCCATGTCGTCACTTACTGACGGGAGAGACATGTTCACTTACTGTCGGGAGAGACTTCATGTCGTCACTTACTGACGGGAGAGACTTCCATGTCGTCACTTACTGACGGGAGAGACTTCCATGTCGTCACTTACTGACGGGAGAGACTTCCATGTCGTCACTTACTGACGGGAGAGACTTCCATGGACTTAGACTTCCATGTCGTCACTTACTGACGGGAGAGACTTCCATGTCGTCACTTACTGACGGGAGAGACTTCCATGTCGTCACTTACTGACGGGAGAGACTTCCATGTCGTCACTTACTGACGGGAGAGACTTCCATGTCGTGACGGGAGAGACATGTGTCACGGGAGAGACTTCCATGTCGTCACTTACTCTCGGGAGAGACTTCCATGTCGTCACTTACTGACGGGAGAGACTTCCATGTCGTCACTTACTGACGGGAGAGACTTTCATGTCGTCACTTACTGACGGGAGAGACTTCCATGTCGTCACTTACTGACGGGAGAGACTTCCATGTCGTCACTTACTGAAGGGAGAGACTTCAATGTCGTCACTTACTGACGGGAGAGACTTCCATGTCGTCACTTACTGACGGGAGAGACTTCCATGTCGTCACTTACTGACGGGAGAGACTTCCATGTCACGTCGGGAGAGACTTACTGACGGGAGACTTCCATGACGTCACTTACTGACGGGAGAGATTTCCATGTCGTCACTTACTGACGGGAGAGACTTCCATGTCGTCACTTACTGACGGGAGAGACTTCCATGTCGTCACTACTACTGACGGGAGAGACTTCCATGTCGTCACTTACTGACGGGAGAGACTTCCATGTCGTCACTTACTGACGGGAGAGACTTCCATGTCGTCACTTACTGACGGGAGAGACTTCCTTGTCGTCACGTACTGACGGGAGAGATTTCTATGTCGTCACTTACTGACGGGAGAGACTTCCATGTCGTCACTTACTGACGGGAGAGACTTCCATGTCGTCACTTACTGACGGGAGAGACTTCTATGTCGTCACTTACTCTCGGGAGAGACTTCCATGTCGTCACTTACTGACGGGAGAGACTTCCATGTCGTCACTTACTGACGGGAGAGACTTCCATGTCGTCACTTACTGACGGGAGAGACTTCCATGTCGTCACTTACTGACGGGAGAGACTTCCATGTCGTCACTTACTGACGGGAGAGACTTCCATGTCGTCACTTACTGAAGGGAGAGACTTCCATGTCGTCACTTACTGAAGGGAGAGACTTCTATGTCGTCATTTAGTTTCTTCTTTATATCAATAATCAAGATAAATTTCTGATCACGTTATTTCACACAACTGATGATACGAGAAACTATAATGTTACGGCTGTTCTCGGATTTCAACTTGCTGACGTCATTGTCTTTTTAACCGAGACATTTTTAAAAAAACGTATTCCTAGTCTTTTTTTTTATTATGATTTTTTTTTTCAAATACAGATAATAATCTGTTACCAGATGGTGAATACAGGTGTCAGGAAGTCAGTTCGAGTGGGAGATATAGTGTGATATTCTATTCATTTTCCATCCGGATTCGTTTCCATACCAACCGTATAAACCTTGGTGACACTGTATGGTTTAAGTACAAAGGTTTACACATACAGACAAACAGACGGAAGGACAGAAGGCGGGCACGCGAAAAAAAGTGAAAAATATTTACCCTTTTAGCAAAGTGGATTTTAATGATAATACAAATGATAATGAAAATTTGAAATGGTTCTTGTCAATTCTGAACATTTCCTTTCCTTTGACCTGTTGACCAAAGTTTGATATTCAATATTGAAAATTAACACAAATCTATGGTTTATACCTCACGGTGAAAATCTCCCAATTGATCATAACTTATTTACACATAAGACATTAAAATCAATTCAAAATATTTAGTTTAATTTTATATCAAGTTTTAAAACGACCCGATTCTATATTACATGCTGAAAATCTACATCTTTGTATCCCAAGAATAGCATGACATTTTTTTCTCGGAATTAACTTAATTTTGAAAAGCCGATGCTATTTTGGACGTTAATTTGAAAATGAACCCCAAACTATAGTGACGTATTTTCTTCTGAAACGATGTAGTTTGATGGTGTAGATATCACTTTCAGCTTTTAAAGCGGATCCCAAGTTATGATGTCATTATTCCCTAATTAAAATGGACAGAAGTTCCTTATTCAACATTGAAAAAAATAATTTAAGCAATTTTTTATTCAGTTTTGCAACAATTTTACACTTATATAGATTACATACGGGAAAACAAACGTAGAGCTATTGTATCACATGTGATATACAGGAATCATATCACGTTTGAGTATAAATACATGAGCTGTATTGAATAAAAAACACACTAGCACCGCTTAATCACATTTAGCAATAGACACTTAGAAAACTTGACATGGAATCTATCATTATTATTTTTATTATAAATTCTTTTTCAACTGTCCGTCGGTTTCGAAATTGTTTCCTTGGTTTTGCTATTATGAAATATTATTGTATTACGTAAATGGTTGAATTTTTTTTTTCAACGTGTTTCGCCCTTTTTCCGAAAGTTAATAAAATTTATTTTCATCTGTAAAATATGACACATTTTAGTATAGATATATACGGTTTATCTCGTATGACCCAAATTTGATGCGGACCATTCCCTAAAACATTTAATTACACGAATATTCGACGCGTTAATATTAGAGTAAAAAAGTGCAATATTTGCTTGCGCTTTAATGAAGGTTTTTCAGCCAGTTTCGAGGTAAAAGGTCATGAATAAAACAAGGAACCTTTGATTGGAGATCATTTTCTATTGATCAGTTCTTACAGGTGGAAAACGGACCCTTTTGTAGAGTCGGTGCCAGTTTTCCACGGTCATATTCTAACCGACTCCATTTTCTAGTTACACAGTTATCGAACCAGTAAAACTCCAAGTAAAAAGGATCGTAGTTTCGTCATGAAGTCTCGATTTAGATTTAGAATATTTAAAATGGTCAACATGATATTAGAACATGTATTGTATAAAACATATGCACATTGTATATCTCAGAAAAAGTAGAAATTTAATGTCGTGGATTTAATTCATATAACAACATCCGCCTGATTAAAAAAAATATGTGACACTCTAAAATTAGACACCCGAGTTCGGGATAATCACATAGGATGATGTATGACAGAAACTTAACCAATCATATTTATTCTGCTATAGAGTTTTGTATTTATTCATTTCTAAGAGAAAATATATTTTATATCGTACCTTTTCGCTTTTTCCGGCAATCGACAAGTAGATAGTTTTTGACGTATCAATGGATGATCCGTTTCCCATGGTCACAAAATAACGGCACTGTTAAATGTACATGATACTTGTTACTTTGTCAATCCTGAAATACTTCCCTTTAATACTGTCTGTTGATGTTCGACTGGAAATTTCACCTGATGAATCACTTACTCCTCCACACGCCACGGAATATCACCCAATAATTTAAAATTATGACACTGGATTATAAAAATCTGCTATACAGAAAACGACTCATGAAATATGCAGTGAAGTGAATTTAGATTCCGTGATGAAGTCAGTGATCACTTAATGTTCAGAGCTTTATAGACAAAACACTACTGTATTAAATGATGAGAGGTGACTTCAGGCATTTTTCATCGAAGAGCTGTGTCGTGATCTTTCCTGCTTTCATCTTCCAGAATAACACTACCTGCGCACAACAGTTTAATAGATTTCAAAGTACAGCCAGGGTATTACATACGATCGTCCTTCTACTTCGATCGATTTATCGATCCGCAGATGGTTATGGCCATTCCACAGCTATTATCACATAGGTCGAGCTGCGATCGTGATTCTGACTTTACTTATGTACTGCACAGGTGAGAGTGATAAACGGTAGAACAGGAAAGGTCTGATGATTCGTCGCCATGGTGAACGCAAGATCTATACTAAAACTAACGCTTCTCGTTCCCTTGGTTACCCTATACACAAAGCCACGCTAATGAGCTTGACAGCGTACGGAAGGCGAATTGCTTGGTCACACATTGTTGTTGTCGATAGTGCTTGTGTAAGCTAGTCGATAGCATTCATAGTTTGAAATTTGACCTTTAACAGTTATAAAAGAATAAACGTCATAATTGAAAATGCGAAGTAACCATGGTTTCCAATATAACAAATGAAATTATTATCCCCTTTTATTTATTAATTAATCTATTTATTTATTTATTCTCACCTATTATTATGATTCTCACCTTGAATATCTACTTACGGTAAAAGACCAATTCAGATGAAGGGGTTCCACATTTACAGGTTAGAAACTCGGCACACGATGGACAATGTAAAACATTCGATCATTGGATGTGAACAAGGGAGATAATTCAACAAAATCTCATCTAAAGACATCCTGAAATATTTGACTCCTGGGTCATGGAGTAATTCCCATCAATGGCAAACCCTCTAAAACGGAAGTCTATTCCACGATAAATAAACTTGTCGAACAAAATGGAATAAATATGAAATTACCATCAAATCTAACAACCTGACACAATTATCGACAAACCAATCAAAAAACCGATGTTATATAATTACAATAAATCAGATGACGTCATAAGTACAAGAGGAAGATTTGAAAAAAAAAACTAAGCGCAAACAGTGATGTTATTATGAAAACTGTTTAAATAGACTCTGACTGAGTTACGTATTGTGAATTACGGGTGTGAAGTATGGTGTCATAGTACTGCAGCACAGATTGAAAATATACATTTGTTATTTTTGAAAACCTTATTGGGTGTTAGGAAATCAGTAAATAACGCCATGGTATATTTTGAACTTGGTCGATATCCTTTGTATATACAGCGTAGGATTGCTATTGTTAAGTACAGGTTAACAGTACTGAAGACTGATAACTGTATTTTGAGGGCCTGTTACGACGAACTTTCAAAACTTTATGACAAGAGACCAAATTGTGAAGATAATTGGGTCTATCATTTAATTCATGAGCTGTGTACTTTGGGTTTTAGAGACTTGAGCAACGTATTAAAGATACTTTTATTCAGGAGATGAGAAACGCATTCGAGACATCTTCATAATATATGTTGTAAAAACACATTTTTGATAGTTTTGATCTACAGTGGTATCTTACAAAACCGTTATTTTGAAAAAATAAATGTTTTCTTGCTAAATATAGATTGCAAGCACGTGTTCTCATTATAGAGACAGGCAGGTACAATGCGGTGCCACGTGATCAGAGATTGTGTACTCTATGTGACCTTGGAAATGTTGAAGATGAGTTTCACTTCATTCTTGTTTGTCCGGTATTTTCGAAATTAAGGATATCTTAAATCAAGTCATATTGTCGTATTCGTCCGTCTGTGTTTAAATTGGTAGAGCAGTTATCTTGCAAAAATTTAAAACAAATTAGAAACTTAAGTAAGTACTTGATTCAAGCAACAGTCCTTAGAAATCGTTTATTATGCATGAAAGCTGTATGTCTTGCTTAAACGTCTTGCTACTCAATAATGTGACTAAGGTATAAGTTGTATTACTGTGAAGTTAAGTAAGTAATATACTGTAATTGTTTGACCTTCTGCTGGAGGTAGTATGATTGAAGTCTTGTTATTTCCCGATAACTTAACCAGTTTAAATCATGCCTCAAAAAATTCTCTCAGTTGACTTAAGGTTCAATTTTTCCCAGACAGTAACTTTTGCATGAATTTTTGAGAATCGAATCTAATTCATATGTTCTCCGCCATTGTACAAGAAATCTGTATTTGTTTGGATCAATATGTATATTTTTGTATGCCCATATGCAGTGTGCATTTGGTAATAAAATTGAATTGAATTGTAATTTTGTTTGATAAGCAAATATGGCCACAGAAAGGCGCTTCGGGGGCCAACGGTGAGTACAGAAACCTAGATATCTCACGCATGTAGGACGCCAGATTGAATACCGCGCTTCGTTGATGAAATGTTTGCTTTTTCCATTCGTGGCAGACATATTTACAGACAGTTTTGGTTTAGAAGTTCATGGGCAGATTCTGAGAAAGAGAACAACACCCCACACCCGCCCAACGACGTTTTCTGGCACGCACTTAAAGTCAGTCTTAACAACAATATGACAAACATAACCATTTATCATCACTTTAGAATCAATTTTTATCCATGTTTCTGTAGCATAAATCCCAATATCTTCAGTATCGTTTTTTTTAGCGAACTTCGGTGTACATAATTATATACACCAACAGATTTGGTATGACACTGTTAGGGACTTTGTTAGGGAAATTGTTATAGACAGCGTCAGAGGCACGGTAGGGCACTGTAAGGGACACTGTAAGGGGCACTATAAGGGACGCTGTAAGGGACAGAGTAAGGGACATTGTAAGGAACACGATAAGGGAAGCTGGAAGGGACACTAGTAGGGACGCTGTTAGGGACACTGTAATGGACTCTGTGGACACTGTAAGGGGCACAGGTAGGAACACTGTCATGGACTCTGTGGACACTGTAAGGGGCACAGGTAGGGACACTGTAACGGACTCTATGGACACTGTAAGGGGCACAGGTAGGGACACTGTAACGGACTCTATGGACACTGTAAGGGGCACAGGTAGGGACACTGTAACGGACTCTATGGACACTGTAAGGGGCACAGGTAGGGACACTGTAACGGACTCTGTGGACACTGTAAGGGGCACAGGTAGGGACACTGTAACGGACTCTGTGGACACTGTAAGGGGCACAGGTAGGGACACTGTAACGGACTCTATGGACACTGTAAGGGGCACAGGTAGGGACACTGTAACGGACTCTATGGACACTGTAAGGGGCACAGGTAGGAACACTGAAATGGACTCTGTGGACACTGTAAGGGGCACAGGTAGGGACACTGTAACGGACTCTGTGGACACTGTAAGGGGCACAGGTAGGGACACTGTAACGGACTCTGTGGACACTGTAAGGGGCACAGGTAGGGACACTGTAACGGACTCTATGGACACTGTAAGGGGCACAGGTAGGGACACTGTAACGGACTCTATGGACACTGTAAGGGGCACAGGTAGGAACACTGAAATGGACTCTGTGGACACTGTAAGGGGCACAGGTAGGAACACTGAAATGGACTCTGTGGACACTGTAAGGGGCACAGGTAGGGACACTGTAACGGACTCTATGGACACTGTAAGGGGCACAGGTAGGAACACTGAAATGGACTCTGTGGACACTGTAAGGGGCACAGGTAGGAACACTGAAATGGACTCTGTGGACACTGTAAGGGGCACAGGTAGGGACACTGTAACGGACTCTGTGGACACTGTAAGGGACACAGGTAGGGACACTGTAACGAACTCTATGGACACTGTAAGGGGCACAGGTAGAAACACTGAAATGGACTCTGTGGACACTGTAAGGGGCACAGGTAGGAACACTGAAATGGACTCTGTGGACACTGTAAGGGGCACAGGTAGGGACACTGTAACGGACTCTATGGACACTGTAAGGGGCACAGGTAGGGACACTGTAACGGACTCTATGGACACTGTAAGGGGCACAGGTAGGAACACTGAAATGGACTCTGTGGACACTGTAAGGGGCACAGGTAGGAACACTGAAATGGACTCTGTGGACACTGTAAGGGGCACAGGTAGGGACACTGTAACGGACTCTGTGGACACTGTAAGGGACACAGGTAGGGACACTGTAACGGACTCTGTGGACACTGTAAGGGACACAGGTAGGGACACTGTAATGGACTCTGTGGACACTGTAAGGGGCACAGGTAGGGACACTGTAATGGACTCTGTGGACACTGTAAGGGGCACAGGTAGGGACACTGTAATGGACTCTGTGGACACTGTAAGGGGCACAGGTAGGGACACTGAAATGGACTCTGTGGACACTGTAAGGGGCACAGGTAGGAACACTGAAATGGACTCTGTGGACACTGTAAGGGGCACAGGTAGGGACACTGTAACGGACTCTATGGACACTGTAAGGGGCACAGGTAGGGACACTGTCATGGACTCTGTGGACACTGTAAGGGGCACAGGTAGGGACACTGTAACGGACTCTGTGGACACTGTAAGGGGCACAGGTAGGGACACTGTAACGGACTCTATGGACACTGTAAGGGGCACAGGTAGGAACACTGAAATGGACTCTGTGGACACTGTAAAGGGGCACAGGTAGGGACACTGTCATGGACTCTGTGGACACTGTAAGGGACACAGGTAGGGACACTGTAATGGACTCTGTGGACACTGTAAGGGGCTAAGGTAGGAACACTGTTAGGGGCACATTAGGTCTCTTGTGCTGAATTCCAGGTAATTTTTAAACAAATTGAATAACATGTACTCTAACACAAAAGTGTATTAACAACTTTCGTCACCTTGTCGTGTGTATTTCAAAGTTTCATTGCCAGGAAGTATATATATTTCAAGGTCACAGGTCATAGGTCTTTTGAAATTAAATTTATCGGCCTTTCAGCGGACGAGAGTTGAAATAGAAACCTCTCATGAACTCATCATCATATTTAGTTTGAAAAAAAATTGGCAGACGGACTATGTGAAAGCGGAGTCTTTGTTTCGTATAAGAATAGCAATGTCACTAAGTAGATTCGAGATTTTTTTATTCCTGAAGTGATATAAGATAACACGCTAACCATACACATACGACTTGTCCATCAAGGGGAATAACTCGTACAGGACTGAAGAGCAAAATTTACCATAACGCTTCTAGTTACATCACTCTGTACATCAATCTTATTGATAAAGTGCAGGAAACACAAGCATTCAATAAACATACCCATGTATCCCTGAGAGTCGTTTTCACATGTACGTGTACGGCGCACACACACGTGTAGGAAACAATAAAAGTGATGACATATGTTGTACAGATAAAAAGTTTCAATAAATCTTGAGAAGACGATCACAAAGTAGTTTGACGAGATCGTTCAACCTTTGTCATCGTAAATCGACATAGAGTTTAATTAATCACTGTAATTACCGTGTACAACTTCTGCTCCATGGTCTATCCCTATCTTTCTTGAAACTGGCGCCGCCATTGTCGGTATACACCTGCCACATATATCTTTGCTGTATTCGGCAGTGACGGAAAACAGTTGTATTTTAGCACGTGCGATAATTAGACAAGATTATTTTCTTAATTTATTTAGATATAACGTTTTGAAAATATAAACAATTGTTGAAATAAGCAACTTTAAAAGTTGTAATTAACAAATTTGTTTACGAAAATCACACCGTCACATACAAAACAGAATATAAGACGCCATTTTTCAGTTTATATGCCCAAATGTAAATACCAAAGTGTATAAAAACACAGAAGTTTTAAGATAATACGTTTGCATGAACTTTATATTGAACTGTATCCTACTTCCATGAAGCTTGATTTTCATGGTTAAGATAAAAATAGTCTGCTTTGAGTATTCTATCTGTCATTATGAGACCAACGACTTGATTTTCATGATTAAGATAAAAATAGTCTGCTTTGAGTATTCTATCTGTCATTATGAGACCAACGACTTGTTAAATATATATGACGTCATTGCAGAGACTGCTTCGGACTAAACCGTTTTAGTCTAACGTCGATGTAATTAAAAGTTGACGAGATGTCTGAAATTGATACAATGCAATGTCATATAAATAGGTTAGATACACAACATCATACACATCCAGACATTCCTGTTATATCCGCGGGTCCGTCATCATATACAACAGTGTTAACGAGTATCGATTTGTATCGAAATTCCTTTTAATGAAACTCTTACAACAAACACGGATCGAAATCAAAGATCTTTCAACTCGACGTTGTTCAAAGCCATGTATCATCAACTTAGTTCAAATGTAACATATCTCACAGACAGTCATAGACGTCAAGTCTAGATTATATTGTATCATGGTTTCTCAGTTGATATCAGTATAAATTTCCATTTCAGTGATATTGCGAGTCAAATATATACATCAAACAGTAAAACGTCAAAATGTCTATCTGTTGAATTATAAACCAGTATAGATTTCCCTACAGGATATTCGCTTGCTTCTAGATCATTTCTCTATGGAATACTGCTTCCGGTTTTCGGACCATCAAAAATAAGGTTACACATATTGAAAGAGGGGTGATTTACACACGTTGGAAGGGAGGTAATTATGTCAAGACTGGTTTTATTTCCATGCTGTAGTCTTTAAAACGCTACGCTTTTAATATAGGTAAGAAACTTTGAGAAAAAGTATCGGAGTAAAAAAGCGCGGGAATCAATCGTATTTTACTGACGTCATATCCGGCCGCAATGCTTCTTCTGTCCACATGGGTTCCCTTCATAGTCATTGGAATGCTAGTTTTGAAGGTACCTATGATTTCGCATATACAATTTGTTACTGAATATATGAGCCAAGACGCCATATATGGAGTCACAACTTGCTACATCTTTAATTTTTGTTCATATTTTTTTTCATTTTAAAGATGATTTTGTATTTTTGAACATCGATTTTTTAATTAACCATAGTGAAGAGTTTGTTTGTGAACACTTATAATACCATATTCTGTATATTGAACTGACGTAAGGCACATTGGACATAAAATCTAAATATTGTTTATATTGAGTACAGGATCAGCATGCCCCTTGAGTGAAACTTCATTCTGTGGTTACTTTATACAAACAAAACATAATAAATAAAAATACACACACAAACAATCAAAACAAAAAGAAAACAAAGCAAAAGAAAAGCTAAAAATAGATTACGACGTAGTATACTGACCGGGTGTATAACTATTTGTAATGTTAATGTACTCAGAAAGAGCAGTAAAACAATCTGATGTGTATCAACGGATCGAATGATTTAGGTGTAATTGTCATAACAGGGATCATTTCCCAAAAATCAGTTTTAGAAAACCACCTTTCCTCAAATAACTCGAGGTGTGAAGTATGTAGTAATGAAGAGTTACGGTATGGGGGGGGGTGCTGACAGGGTGTATTTCTTTACTCCCTGTTTTAGTTTGTACGAGATGTGAAGTATGTAGTAATGAAGAGTTAGGGTATGGGGAGTGGAGGCTGACAGGATGTATTTCTTTACTCCCTGTTTTAGTTTGTACGAGGTGTGAAGTATGTAGTAATGAAGAGTTAGGGTATGGGATGGGGGGGGGGGGTGCTGACAGGGTGTATTTCTTTACTCCCTGTTTTAGTTTGTACGAGGTGTGAAGTATGTAGTAATGAAGAGTTAGGGTATGGGGGGGGGGGGTTGACAGGGTGTATTTCTTTACTCCCTGTTTTAGTTTGTACGAGGTGTGAAGTATGTAGTAATGAAGAGTTAGGGTATGGGGGGGCTGACAGGGTGTATTTCTTTACTCCCTGTTTTAGTTTGTACGAGGTGTGAAGTATGTAGTAATGAAGAGTTAGGGTATGGGGTAGGGGGAGGGGGCTGACAGGGTGTATTTCTTTACTCCCTGTTTTAGTTTGTACGAGGTGTGAAGTATTTAGAAAGTCAGTCTTTGCGCGATTTCTCGTCACTGTAGACTTATTACACTCTCGATATCGCCCGGATGTGATTCTCCCTCATTACCCAAAGGCCATACTACATAACCTGTATATATTTAAAATCACACTTTACTATAAGGTATAATTTGTATGTATTATATATGGATATCCCTGTAAGAATATTTCTCACCGTCAAGTTTAAGACTTTTTTTCTCTATATATTTTAATACTGCTATGTGTAACGTATTTATCATAAACTGATCTGAGTTTTTGTCGTGAAGTAACATCATCATTTAACCACTAATTATAATATTAAACAGAAATTGTTATTTGTGTCAATATCGTCAATGTTATACACGTGCCACTACCACGATTACATGCTAAAGAAATAGACAAAATAAATAAAAACAAGAATAACAATTAACCAAGCTATGATAAACATAATACCAGACGGATTTTTTCACAATTTACAGTTTAACAAATATGGTTTCATATCTCATGACACGTGATCAATTAGCTTTGTATTATTTCGCATTTCAAACTTGATAAAACAGCAAACATGTATGACAGACATGTACACCATTTCATAGCACTAAATATTTCGAGTTTATTTTTCAGAGTATACACAGTTCAAACTATTTCAAACGTTCATATTGCATTGCACTGTAAATCGTCCTACACAGCGCCTTGTCCTTCATTAATTGTCTAAACTGTCTATTTCAAACGTTCATATTGCATTGCACTGTAAATCTTCCTACACAGCGCTTTGTCCTTCATTAATTGTCTGTGTATGTTCGTGTGCAGATATTTTGAAGCATCAATGAAAACATGTGTTATACCATGTACATAGAGAGCCAGTCATCCGCTATTGTACACCAAACCTAACCCGATACGCACACAAGGGTATCGGTGTTAAATGCACACTCGGGTGAATATACTCTGACCTTCACAAACTGTTTAACCATGACTCAAAAAGCGTTATATCTGGAGCATGCGCATTAACTGACATTAAACCCTAAGGAATACGCATATCGGTGTATGAATTTTACAGGATATTTAATGAAATGTTTCTCCCAGTTTTCGTCGCGTGTCTCTTTTACGCGGGTAAGTACATTGTTAAAACATATTTTGATTCTTGTTTCCGTATTTTATTTTAAACGTTTTACACCATTTTGATAAGTTTGACACTTTTTTTGTTTTCTTGTCCTTCTCTCTGAGTATAGAGTCTTCTCAAACAAACCTGACTCATAAAACATTCTAGAAAACTTTTCAAATTGGGGGTTTTATATCGAATTGTTAATATTTTGAATAAAACAAAACACGGTTTGTTTAGTGCTAATTTGAAAGTTAGTTCTAAGTATTTTATACAAAAAAAAAAACATTCACCGTCTTATTTAAGTACATATAATTGATTACTTTGTCATAACCTAAATTTTACAATCAACACGTTTAAATTATTAATTGATAATTATCGCATGTAGCGTCATACTGAAATTATCTCACAGTTTGTGATGTCATCTCGTTTGCGATTTCAAAAGTTAATTTTATTATTATGACGTCACAAAAATGATATTTTAATATAACGTCACGTTTAATAAGAGAAATTTACAGTAAAGTGGTGGCTAGTTTGGATTTCGATATTTTATACAGATACACTGTTCGTCGCTTTTAATAAAGTTTCTAGATTTTTTTTCTGTCCAATCATTATATCGATTCAATCAGCAGATGACGTCATCAAAATCCCTAACATCCTCTTTTGAAGCAGGATGTGGAAAGGTGTACTGCCAAACTGTAATAGTTATATTAGTTAAGTGAAACTGTATTCATCTGCATTAGAAATTTGAATTTTTTTATTATCTGGCATTTTAAGAAAAAAAATATGATTAAAAGTAATTATAGGAGAAGTGAAACACATCAAATTTAAATATTCATCAATAAGTGGTCTTATTCGTTCCTATTTTCTTCCGGAAAAGTAAGCACGTGCTTTGTTATGGTCTATCGTGAACAGCTTTTTAAATTTTAATATCATGGATATGAAGGTCATCTGCATATATCATGGGACTATATGATCATATCGCGGGTGTATACATACCGGTTCTGTATACCGCGGTCACTTCATATCATCTTACACGCCCTTCACGCGCCACGGCACCCTCTGTATATCTCATGCGCTGTAACCTTGACAGAGGTCACTTCTTCAGTGCGGCTTGGTTAAGGATGCAATGAGGTGAGAAATTTCCAACTACGCCTTTAAAAATACACGCTAACAATGTGCCCCGTGTCCATCTCGCTTATAATATGCGGAACGATATGCGAGACACGGGTAACAGAATCCTTTATCAAGCCGTAGTTTCACACTTTTTATTTCTTCTGTCTTCAAGGACATTTTTACATATACATTTGTCTACCTAAGTACATAATTTCTTTTGTTTGACAAGGCGGTGTTAAACTTTATTTCTTTAAAGTCACGGTGTGGAAAATGAATAACATTATTACAGTTTTTAAGAGTCCTATAATATTGATGCGTTGACAAGGGTAATGACGAAATAACTGTGAGATTCACAAATGCTTCGCGAATTAAAAGTGTACGCGGGACTTGTGTTACTAAATGGTTTTTTTAAAGTAATGCTTGAAGTTTGTTTTACATAGAAAACATGGAATTTTATGTTAGAGTTAAGGCTATATGCAACCTTACACATTATACCTGTGATTTGTGTTAGAGTTAAGGCTATATGCTACCTTACACATTATACCTGTGATTTGTGTTTGTGTTAATGTTATATGCTACCTTACACATTATACCTGTGATCTGTGTCAGAGTTAAGGTAATATGTTACCTTACACATTATACCTGTGATTTGTGTTAGAGTTAAGGTAATATGCTACCTTACACATTATACCTGTGACTTGTGTCAGAGTTAAGGTAATATGCTACCTTACACATTATACCTGTGATCTGTGTCAGAGTTAAGGTAATATGCTACCTTACACATTATACCTGTGATCTGTGTCAGAGTTAAGGTAATATGTTACCTTACACATTATACCTGTGATTTGTGTTAGAGTTAAGGTAATATGCTACCTTATACATTATACCTGTGATTTGTGTTAGAGTTAAGGTTATATGCTACCTTACACATTATACCTGTGATTTGTGTTACAGTTAAGGTTATATACTGCCTTACACATTATACCTGTGACTTGTGTTTGTGTTAATGTTATATGCTACCTTACACATTATACCTGTGATTTGTGTTAGAGTTAAGGTTATATGCTACCTTACACATTATACCTGTGATTTGTGTTACAGTTAAGGTTATATACTGCCTTACACATTATACCTGTGACTTGTGTTTGTGTTAATGTTATATGCTACCTTACACATTATACCTGTTGATTTGTGTTAGAGTTAAGGTTATATGCTACCTTACACATTATACCTGTGATTTGTGTTAGAGTTAAGGTTATATGCTACCTTACACATTATACCTGTGATTTGTGTTAGAGTTAAGGTTATATGCTACCTTACACATTATAGCTGTGATTTGTGTTAGAGTTAAGGTTATATGCTACCTTACACATTATACCTGTGATTTGTGTTAGAGTTAAGGTTATATGCTACCTTACATATTATACCTGTTACTTGTGTTAGAGTTAAGGTTATATGCTACCTTACACATTATAGCTGTGATTTGTGTTAGAGTTAAGGTTATATGCTACCTTACACATTATACCTGTGACTTGTGTTAGAGTTAATGTTATATACTGCCTTACACATTATACCTGTGACTTGTGTTAGAGTTAATGTTATATACTGCCTTACACATTATACCTGTTACTTGAGTTTGTGTTAAGGTTATATGCTACCTTACACATTATACCTGTATTGAATTTATTTCTTGAAGAATTCCTTGGTTAATTTTCAGTTTCTGGACAAAAACCGGAAATCGTGAATTTGATCAAAAAGGATGTCAAACCCGTGAACGCCATTGGCTACCTGAACTGTACCACAGTCCATCTCAACAATGGAGCTACGGTAAGTTCAACTTACAGACAAATTTTCAGGAGGAAAAATCTACATGGTTTCTTTTAGCTACACCAATTTAAGATTAGTTCGTATTTTTCTTGGATTTAAGTTTTTATGGAGAAGGAATCCTAAGGTTTTCCTTAACTTCGGAACTTTCAGATTATTGACAAATTCCTGAAGATTTCCTTAACTCTGGAAAATAGTTGAGTTAAATCTTAAGGAACAATCAGATTTTTTTTTATTAAAGACCAAGGAAAAATTCTTTCCTTTTCTGGATTTCCGGCTTCCCGTTTTTGGTGGCGCGCGGAATTTTCGCCAATTATATAATTTGTAGAATAATTCTTATCTTCCAAATCACCAGATATCGTTGTAACAAATATTCGTGATTTCACCCCAAAGGGATTTCATTAAAAACAGTGTTGTTCAAGAATGTACAAACTAACAAAATTATGAAACTTTTAAAACATTACAATCCATATTTGTTCTTTGTTGCTTTTTATAGGTTCACTGGGCCAAGATTTTGAAGGGCGGTGATAAGGATATGGTAGATATCAGTGAAGATGATAAAATTGTCCTTCAGAACAGTGTTAAGTTGGGTAGGTATCACCATTATTTTTCACAGTGTTCTCTGTAAACTGGTAGCTTACTTTAAATTCCGATACGTATGATATATCATATCGTGAAATATTAACACTCCCGCGAACTTGAAGCGGTATTGAGTTGTCGTTCTTGACTACAACGCTAAACATGATAGGAGCCCGCTCAAGCCGAATTCGTCGCCCGGACGGAGACACAGTTTCATGTTATTCGTAAGTTCTTTCTCGTTTATTGTGAAGTAAGTGTACTGTTTTTATATCAAGAAATTATTCAAAACTCATATGCGCTCATATTTTAGCATGCGAAGCTCTGGATTTGTCGTGACAAATACCGGGGTAAGAAATTCCCTTTGTTGGAATTTTCCGACTCTAAATTAGATCGAAATGACGACATTTGATTTATTCAAGCGATTTCATTGGTTGGTATAATAAGATGATGGATAATCGTCCTACGTCATTTTAAAAGTAATATGCGATTGGCTGAGAAAAAGAAAAGTTATAAATGCGAAACCAGGGGAACCCCTGCAAGGCGTACTCTCGGTATACAGTCACGGACTAACTCCTGACTTCACGATAACCTTTTTTGACGGTGATATTCCGTTTGTTTTTAAATTAGAAATTAATTGTACATTTTCATGAATACTTCAACTATAATTCGCCGAAAGTAATAGAGTTAAATTTTCATCGATAGCGAACAACGGACGGAAAACTTAACAAACTCGGGCTTTCATGCACAAGAAACTGTTCACTCGCCAAGAACAGTAACTCTGTATATATCTCAAAGGACAAGTATTTCTCGCTATGTTTTGTTGTATCATCTCATTTCTATTCATAGTAATAGTGACCTTGACCTTTGACCTCTGACCTCTGAACACGAAAGGCAGTGAAGAGCTAGCAATTCCTTTAGAGAAGATTTGAGAAAGTACATGTGTAATTATTCAAACCGAAATGTAGGTATTTATTAATAGTAATAGTGTTCCGTTGACATTAGAACCAAGAAATCACCAATTAGTAGATGTTTCCTTCAAAGAGCCTTTATGTTTTAGTTTCAATGCGATTGGCCACACTGAATTCGAGAAATTTTGCGGTAAAAAAAAATGAAACGTACAGATGGAAAGACAGATCGATAGATGGACAATCTGATTATAATAAGGCGCCAAGGTGCGGATCCTAATTATGAAATCAGAGACAGTCACACCTATATGTACATGTAAACATGTAGGTAATGTAGATTCACACATGTCAGGTTCAACTCTCACTTAACATATCAATCACACGAGAGCTGGTCGCTATGTAACCAGTATAGGTAGCCTTATAGTTCAATAATAATAATAATATTTTTGTAACCAATCCTTAGTAGGCGGTCATTTAGCAGCCAATCATCTTGTCAATATCAGGGTAATGTGGCATTTCGTATCGACTGAAATTCCCAGCCAATCATATTGGTCATATCAAGGTCAGGTTTTTCGTGTCGTCTGGTTTCCGGCCAATGATATTGTTCATATAAGTGTCATTTTATAATTAGTTAATAAACATTTATATAATTATCGGATTTTTTATGTTTATTATCGTAGCGACTATACAAAAACTGGTCCAATTTCATGTACATCATGACTAAATTAAATTATCTGACCACACGGGGACATAATACAAGATTTACATGCCAAAACATACGCTGTTAAATTCCAATTCAATTCGTCTGCTCGTACATTCACTCAGAAGTTTCAATATGTGGTTCGCTATTGAAAACACCAGAATCTTATCGACTATTTTTTCCTTAAGTAGCAAAAAGGCCTATTTTTCTCTGCAGCAATTAGTCGATAAGATTAAAGTGGCGTAGCCACATGTTGACAAAAATGAATTATATATAAGTTACACTTCGAGATTCTTCTGAGGATAACGTTGAGGTTTCAGCAGAACGACAGCACTTTATCATGGGCAATCTTGTGATCTATATTACAATTCGACCTCGAAATAAAGTCGTTCTTGGGGTACAGGTGCATTATTCCACATGGTATCTCAGTCACAAGAGATAAAGAAACGTGATGAAATGGCATAGGTGTACATTTTTGGACATCTATGACTTTCGCCTCAATTTTCAAATCTGGTGACATGACCTCTGCCAATGGTTACCGACCAATATATATCCTCTCTGTTGTGAGTAATTTTTTATCATGTGGCGTTACTCATTGGTGTTATTCTATTCCCAGCAAACCAACTAAGCACGTGATCAGAGATAACCTGACGCTGATAAACATAGACCAGTCTTCTGGATACTTCCGGATTGAAATTTCTGTATCGGATAACTATATTCGTTAAGGATGAACGGGCTTAGAAGGCAAATATCATAATCTAAGTAGCGCTTTGTTTTCAGTACAGTCTCCATAGCAACAATTATGACGTCATGATTGTCACATCAGTATATTAAGGAGTTTTATGCCAAGGAAAAATCATTTTAGAATAATTTTGTTTTTAATAAATTTATTCAACTTTTTTCTCAGGAAAAAAGGAGGACCTTGGTGAGCCCAAGTACGGTGTAACGGTGAAGCAGGATAATCTGCGGACGAAATTCATATTGATGGTTCGCTATCTCAAGGAGAGTGACGCTGGAGAGTACATGTGTTACATCAAAATACAAAACACGGACTACTCGTATTGGCCCAAAGAAATCGGCAAACTTATCGTGCAAGGTAAGTTCACAAAAGGTCGTATTGTTATAGGTCAAAGGTCGCAAGAGGTCAATATTTGTGAGGGTTTTGGTCGCCGTCACAGGCCTTTATAACGTTGTCCGTGGAATCGTGATGTCATCATAGCAGGGTCAAAGATAGGGTAACATTGAACCCCCATCCAATCGCTTGTAAGGTAAATCATACCGTGTAGATTCCATTAATGCGTTGCGGCAAGCATAAAGAACAATTTCTACCTTTGGTAGATCACGGCTTCAGGACAGAACCTTAACCCCAAGGTAAAAAGAGACATTGTGTCTGGAATAAACATCCGAGAGAATAAAGGTCGTTAGGAACTAGAGAAAGACAAAGATTTCATGTTTGCCTGATAATAAAACAGAGGCAACATTACGCTTCATGAGAGTAATTTGGCAGATAGGTATACTTCGTGATTATTTTGTTTGTAACAAGTGAAAATGGTTGTGATCTTAATGACATATAACGGCCATGATAAGTCGACAGTCAATATCGAATTCAGGTCAACATCAAAAATGTTTGTTTATTTATTGCGCAAAACGCGTGTGTTTACAGTAATATTAAAAAAGATTGTCTCCTGAAGAGAAAAAAATATTTTGTTAATGTTTTTTTTCTAGAGTTTAAATATTCGCGAGTTTATACAAAGACTTCCGGTAAATTGAAAGTGGAACGAACAAAAACTAAACATAAAACAAGGTAGACGATAATTCCGGAACTAGTATCTCAAATCAATACTTATCTTATTTGTCGATTTTTGTGTTCGTGTTTTCAGATGGATTTAGGGTTACAAAACAGACGTATTTCTAAATAATGCATTATGTATTTAATTTCCAAATATTTACTGTAAAATGTATGCTTTTATTTTATTGAAAAAAATGGCGCGAATTAAATTTTATCAAATGATAGTATTTTTCGACACTTCTATTTAGCACAGTTTTAAGACATCATTTCACATAGCGAAGAATAATCTCCTGAAATTTTTTTTTCACATTTTTCATACTTCTAATTCTGTGGTTTTTTAAGATTCTTATGTAAAACATTTTTTTTAACTAAATTTTGTGTGTGGCGTCTACGCAGTGGCCCCGGTCATCAATATCGTTGGAACAAGCGTCTATGAGGCGGTGGTCGGCGGCAATCTGACGCTTTCCTGTACTGCATACGGCGTACCCTATCCAAACATCACGTGGAAACGAGAAGACGGACGAGAACTGGCCGTGGGTGGCTTCCAATACTGGGTTCGTAACATTCCATCCAGCACCATAAGGATGTATAAAAAAAACAAATTCAATGGTAAACAATGTAACAGAATGTCATCGATAAAAATACGATTATCGTTGTTAATATTTATTTATTTGTTTGTTTATTTGCTGTTTTTTTTCGTTGATGCTTCAGGGTATAGTTTTGCTAAATCACTGTATTTTGTTGTTAAAGCTGTTGTGGTTTTTTTTCCGTTTTGTCGGTGTTTATCTAATTTTGATTCACTTTATTTTGGTTCAACAGGGGAAGAAATTGAAGTTAAAGAACATACAGAAAGAGGACCAGGGAAACCATATCTGTGTGGCCGATAACTCGGTGAGGCCTCCAGCAAGTTACACGGTACAGATCAAGGTGTTTTACGCTCCGACCTGTCGGTCCGTACAGAACACGGTCGGACAGGCGCAGAACCGCCGCTTTGACGCCAAACTCGAGTGTATTGTGGAAGGCGAGTAAAGAACTGTACAAAAATCACAAACGAGAAAAACACCTTTTAATACAAATTTATAATCAAATACAGTACAGCCAAATAATTAATTAACTTGCAGCATACAACAGTTTCGTCCTTCTAGGATTCGTCAGTGATGCTACATCATACAACAGTTTCGTCCTTCTAGGATTCGTCAGTGATGCTGTATCATACAGCTGTTTCGTCCTTCTAGGATTCGTCAGTGATGCTACATCATACAACAATTTCGTCCTTCTAGGATTCGTCAGTGATATTAAGGGCCTACATTTCGAAGCCTTAGAGGCGATTAAGGAAAATCCAAAGTGATCAAAAGAAAAGTCAAAATCTAGACGGGGAGGTGCAGCAGCCCCATAATTAGATAAATTTTGTAATTTTCATACATCAGACAATTCTAGAATAGTGAAAAGTACATGTACATTTTCTAAACCGCGGCACTATTCAAGTCAATTAAAACGTGGTATAGCAGGTTACGGCAATACCAATTACAGTCATACCAGAGTGTTTACTGAATTTACAACTATATCTATATATTATACATATCCTTCGGAACCCCCCTTACTTTTCATTAGCACTGTATATAAGTGTAATATGTAGTTAGTGTATTTGTTGCCATAGGGCTATTGCGTTGTCTAATTATATTTTGTTATATATTGGGGAAAGGGTGTTTCATAAGTTGTAATAACTTGTACCTAATCCTGTTGTAATAATTTTTTTAAATAAAATATGTTTAATTCAATTAATTCAATATAAGTGTATCATCATTTGACACCAACTGCGCGGAGGCACTATATTGAGTCAGTGAGGGAGTAGGGTTGGGGTAACAAACATTTGTCCACTATCAAATTTCAATGATTTTTTAAAGCACAATTTGAGCCCAGAGGAATCATTAATTTGAACATTTTTTTATTGGAACAGGTCATCCGGACCCGTACATGTATTGGGAAAGATACGAAAATACGAAACGGATAGAAATCACGGATGACGTCAACTACGAGACCCACAAGCTATCGGGAATACAGAATTCTTTGGGACAAATGTGGTATTCACTGCTCGTAAAAAACGTGCAAGCGAACGACTATGCCGATTATTGGTGCATAGCTGTTAACAAGTATGGCTCGTGCGAGGCCAAGTTTACCTTGTTTGGTAAGTGGAGTTATGTGCTCGTGTCATCACATGGAAAACCACGGAATTAAGAGCCCCACGAAAATAAATTATTTTACAGTAACGGATAAATAGAAGTTTTATCAAAAATACTGATTATTCGATCAGATAAATATGGTTCAATTTTAAAATATTTATTTTTCCTATATCTTGATTATTCATGATTGTTTTAAAACTCGGTTGTATGATCAAACTTCTTTGAAAGTTGAAGGCCAATCCATATCTATCATCATGCCGTTCCAGATATCTCCGCGAAAAAAATGCTTTTCAAATATTATTTCATCTGTATATTTGTGTCATATTCACTACAATTCTGATGGTTAGTATTTTAAATAACGTTGTTAGGATATGACAACAAAAAGTATGGAAGCTGTTTATGCAATACAATTTGGTTTTTATAACGGGGCAGAATAACACGAATAAAAAAAATATTTATTCGAGTTGATTCATGCATATTTTCAGAAACCATGGAATGTCAAGGCTACAACTGCCCTTCCCTCAAAATCTCAGGATCCAATCAGAATGTCGCTTACATCCTGCCGATGGTATTCGCTGCAATATCAGTTCCAGCTCTTCATTGGATGATGTTTTAATACGCTTCCAACTTGTGAAAAATCCTTAACATCAAAGGAAAAATATAGGATTCGGAGACGAGAACGGAGAACAGAAACTGATCAGCGAAATCTCAAATCAGACGCAACTTTCGGGTTATGTTCTAAATCAGATTTACCTTTCGGGTTATATTCTAAATAAGATGTAACTTTCGGGTTATATTCTAAATCAGATGTAACTTTCGGGTTATGTTCTAAATAAGATTTAACTTTCGGGTTATATTCTAAATAAGATTTAACTTTCGGGTTATATTCTAAATAAGATGTAACTTTCGGGTTATATTCTAAATAAGATGTAACTTTCGGGTTATATTCTAAATAAGATGTAACTTTCGGGTTATATGCTAAATAAGCTGTAACCTTTGGGTTCCATTCTAAATAAGATTTAACTTTCGGGTTATATTCTAAATAAGATTTAACTTTCGGGTTATATTCTAAATAAGATGTAACTTTCGGGTTATATTCTAAATAAGATTTAACTGTGGTGTTATATTCTAAATAAGATTTAACTTTCGGGTTCCATTCTAAATAAGATGTAACTTTCGGGTTATGTTCTAAATCAGATGTAACTTTCGGGTTATGTTCTAAATAAGATGTAACTTTCGGGTTATATTCTAAATAAGATTTAACTGTCGTGTTATATTCTAAATAAGATGTAACTTTCGGGTTATGTTCTAAATAAGATTTAACTGTCGTGTTATATTCTAAATAAGATGTAACTTTCGGGTTCCATTCTAAATAAGATTTAACTTTCGGGTTATATTCTAAATAAGATGTAACTTTCGGGTTATATTCTAAATAAGATTTAACTGTCGTGTTATATTCTAAATAAGATGTAACTTTCGGGTTATGTTCTAAATAAGATGTAACTTTCGGGTTATATTCTAAATAAGATTTAACTGTCGTGTTCTATTCTAAATAAGATGTAATTTTTTGGTTCTATTCTAAATAAGCTGCCACTTTCAGGTTATATTCTAAATAAGACCTAACTTTCGGGTTATATTCTAAATAAGATGTAATTTGCGGGTTCATTTCTAAATAAGATTTAACTGTCGTATTCTATTCTAGATAATATTTCTCTGTCGTGTTCTATTCTAAATAAGATGTATTTTTTTGGTTCTATTCTAAATAAGCTGCCACTTTCAGGTTTTATTCTAAATAAGACCTAACTGTCGTGTTCTATTCTAAATAAGATGTAACTTTTTGGTTCTATTCTAAATAAGCTGCCACTTTCAGGTTATATTCTAAATAACATGAAGCTTTCGGTCGTTTCGCTTATTTTTTCATAAGGACAAAATTACATAGTTTAATTTAAAGTTGAGCTTAAATTTTGTTTATCATTATTTTAGGGTAATTGAAAAATTGGGCGATTGGTTTTTGTAATCCAGGGACCAACACAGGCGAATATGCTTTCAATTTTTAGTAAGAAGCATTAAAGTGGGAAACACAGAAAAACTAAAGAATGTCTCATTTTCTCTATTATTGCTTTTTCGAATTTTTTTTTTATAAAAAGGCATAGAAAAAAATACTGTTAGTTCGTTTTTTTTAATCCGGATAATCAAATACTGAATTCAACAGTAAATTAATTGATACTGTAAACACTGTAAGTTCCTTATTTCAATGTTTTAATCCTTCCTGGTTCTGTACTGTAATTTACGCGACGGACTTTTGATTTCTCTTTTATTTTTTTTATTTATTTTTTATCTGTTTTTATTTTTATTTTTGTATTTTTTTTTTATTTCACTTAATCGATTTTTCCTCAAAATCTCGATATTAAGAAAGTTTTGTAAATAATATTTGCAGAATCATGAAACACGTATAAAATAGAACCATTACATCATGTGATACTACAGAATATAGGAACATGAAAATATGAACACAACACAGAACAAGGATTGCCTGGGAATTCCAAGCATATTTTCCATGGAGTGTCAAGGATCAGGAGTGTTTAATATTTAACAACATGGTATGGAGAAGATTTTATGTGGGATACGAAGTAACGTTGTTGATTCGAAGTGTTTTCTGTGGATTTTATAATATTGTTATGGATTCACGTTCCAAGACATACAGTGAGTAATTTTACATTTTGATCTGAACTATCGTCAAACCTGTCTCAGATTAATAGCTTTATGAAAAATAACACCCCCCCACCCCCCCCCCCCCTACCCCCTCTTTTTTTTTTTTTTTTTTTTGACAAAATAACTTAAAATCAACCTTTGATATTACTGCTGTAACTTTTTACAGATCTGATTTTTAAGCAATTCTTACAAATTAGGACAAATATTTTTTTTTAACTACATTTAAATTACCTTTGATATTTTAAAAGTATGATTTTTAAGTAATTCAAACAATCATGAAAAAAAATTCAAAGCAACTATTTTAATTATCTTTGATATCATAGCTGTGACTTTTTCCGAGTCTGACTTTTTGAGTAATTCCTTAACTTAAAGACAGGTTTGACTTATAATACATTGTTTCGTATTCCTACACTGTAGACGTACATATTTTGGCGTAATATTTTGGTGGTTGAAAAGTATAATCACGATATATCGCGAATGAAGCATCGCCAACAATTAACAGTGAGTGGTAACTAGAGTTTTCTTCCACAGTAACTTCCAGAGAAAATGATAGAAGAAAAGAGGTCGCTATAATATGTACGTTTACAAAACTAATGAACATATAACATATATCTGTTTATGTAATATTTTTTTATTTATTATACATCTACTGTGATCATGCTATGCTAATGCCATGGAGCGGCATCCGTCGTCCTAAAGATCGTTATTAGTCATGAACGACTGAGCGGAGTGTGACTTTAGGTCAGGAGCATCCTTAGGGAAAGTTCAAAACTTTACTTTATTCCTCATGAGTTTGTTATCAAGTTTTCCAGGGTGAAAGAGAATAAATTTTGTGTAAATTACGATCGGACTCATTTGGAGAAAAGAGGTAAAAGTTTAAAATCATATTAGAAACGTTTTGATATTTAAAGCTGGAATATTTAGGTGAGCTATACAGCCCAATGGGCCTCTTTTTATAACTTTTATTCATGCCGTTAAATAAATATACAATATCGCTACCATTTATACAGATATTGATCAGTTTCATCACATCAAGAAATAAAAATAGGGCATTAACAATCTAAAAGAATGTTCAAAATATTGCTATGTACTATGGAGAATTGTCACATAATTTTGGTAAACGAGAAATAATTGATGAAGTGAATAGTGAAGTATAGGCATTTAGAAAATTTGTACTTGATTTTATGATCACAAAAGACGATTTAAAAACCATCCAACTTTAGGATCTACACTGTATATTATGATCGTTGCAGGGGCTGTAAAAAATCTGAAAAACGCCATGCTTCATATGTATGTAAATGATAAATCATGACAAAATACTGATGTATTCTACACCTAATAATGAAATAAATCTAAACCTGACCGATGGCTCTGATCTTTTGTCTACCGTATCATCATCACGAAAATGAACTGCTAGTTCATATATCACGCTGAACTAGCCGTTTCTGTAGGAATATCTACTTCACAAAAGAAAAGCACCAAATACCCCTCTTTTATCCTCACAACATGAAAAATGATACTAAAGCTGAATTTGGTGTCATTATCAAAATTTCATATTTTGTGATAAAGCTTTAGTACAAGGAAAAATTACATTTAATATGACAGTTAGAGCTTTGGCTATTGATACGTATAGCTGGTATTTTTCACGAGTCCAAAATTTTCGCGATTTTCTTTTAAAACAAAACAATTATATTTTAACGATTTTAAAATTTCGCGATCTGAATGTAAAATTACATCTAACACACCAGTGTCTCATTATGCTAAGGAGTAAAATTTTGCGGTCAGGTTAATGCACCGCGAAATAGCGAAAATAGCATCCCCGCGGAAATAACAAGTCATACTGTATTATATTTTAAGTGTAAAAATAATCATTTTTTACACATGCAAATTTATTTCATTAAATCACAAATAGTAATGAAGACTTTTTGGAATTGTCATCAAATTCTAACATTCTTCCTGATAGAAACATCAAATGGGAAAGTTTTTTCCGACATCTTGTCACAGAATAAAATGCTTTACAACTTTTAAAAGTTATTAAGGATTGTTCCGTCTATAATGAAATCTTACGTTCATCAGTTTTAACAAATCTTAAACAGTCAACAATTCTTTGGAATATTTTCATAGTCTAATATATACATGATTAGGTTTGTATTGTACCCACAGGGATTTCGCATGACTTCCAGACAAACGCTGGGCACGAATTCTCGACGCACGGTCAATATATGTATTAAAATCACTATAATACATATATATGGACCGAGCCTCATTAATTCGTGCCCAGAAATGACATGAATTCCCCGTGCAAGGTCTATGACTACAATACATATGGACCATGAATTCGTGTCCAGAGATTTGAAATTAATTCCCCGTGCACGGCCCATGACTACAATACATATATACAAGCCAAATTTCTGTGATTCTACCCATTTCTTATTGTAATTTGGTGATCTAATTTAACAAAAACACGATTTCATGACAAGAGCTTCCTAGACGGATGCGTAATACCCCCGTCTTCCTAAATATAAGATTTTTTTTCCTCCAAATTTAAAATTAAACATACATGCCAAACGTTCGGGATCATAACACGTAATTAAGGCATAGACCACTGAAGACATTTGCACAAAATCTGACATGTGGGGAAAATTCGCCAAACGGATGATAAAATAAAGGATTAATATTAAAAAAATAAATACGTTTCATCATGGTTCGTCTCAAAAAAACATCCACGCCAAAAAATAGCATAATGTATTATCTGATTGAAATGTAAACCTCTGATGAATCCTACACCAAAACCAAGAAAGTTCCAAACATGTCTAAAGTTTGAAGTTAAAAAAAATTAGAAAATATTTTCATGAATTGAATCTATACTGTAATTGATAGACCCTACAAGAAAATTCATGTCAA